TATATATATATATATATATATCATTTTTATTGATAATTACTTTAGGATTAGTTAGGTATTCTTTCTTAAATGTCAATCAAAGGTCCTCAATAAAATTTAGAATTTCATTATAAAAGGTATAAGTTTAAATTTTTTGCTTCCATTAAAAAACTCATTATTAATGCTTTAGAATTTTTACAATTTTGGTTTTACTTTTTGTATTTTGGCAATAGTTATGTTCATTTAACTTTTTCTCTAAGGAATCTCAACAAAATATTGCTGCTAAAGTAAAAAATTTGTTCATGTCTGTAGTTGCTTAACTTAACATGTATAAGAATGTTATCAATGCAGTGCATCATTTTGATGAAGACAAAATAAAGTCTAATTACAACAGGTAAAGCTAAAGATAAAAATAAATCAAAAGAGTGGCTCTATTAAACTAGTAAAATAAATAGCACATAATTTAGAATATTTTAAAATATTCATGTTTTACTATGTTAATATCATTTTGTTTACTTGGGTACTTTTATGCATAGCCATAATATGAACAAATTTTTAGACATTAATGGTTGGAACTCCTCCTTAATTAATGATCATCTTCTCTTATCTTTCTTTTTTTTTTCTCTATAATAGCCATGGCCCAAGTGTTTTGTAATGCTTATAAAAATGGGTTGAAATTTTTGTAACTTAAACTTTTGGAATAATATATTTTTGATGGAAATGTATTCTTCATTATTTTGGTTTTCTAAGAATTGGCTTTTTTTTTTCTTTCAAATCTTTCAAGTAATCCACTACTCTCTAATATCTGCTATGAACTCCTCTCATTTTCCCCAACTTCATAAGAAGCAAATAAAACTTCCAATCATTCTAGACACCTTCATATAACTAGTCAAACTATGGAATAATATGACATTATCTTATTATTTACTCCTTGACACCATTATGAGCTCTATTAAGCCTGAAACTAATCACATCACTTCTTATTGGTGGAACCATCAAAGCTAAATGAGGACGGTTAAGCTTGAGCAATATTTACAAAGTTTACGGAAACATGTTGCTCTCTCCAAAATCAAGCAGAACAGACTCAGCACATATGGCATATAAATATCAAACAAATTCCCTAAAAAAACTAATTTCTGTAACGTATTTAGATGAAGATCATAACCCGAAGGAAATACTCCACACGCGACATTTACTGAACATGACCTCTATGATTCTGCCACATCCAAGTTGACTTCAGCTTCAGCTTGGGCGACATTTTTCAACTTCTTATGCCTAGTCCTGGCTGTTGTCTGTTGAGAAACAAGGTTGGCTGCAGCAGCATCATATAATGAGCTTGGCTCCACATCTGCAGTGGTTTCATCAACTGTAGTAGGCATCTCCCTCACATGAGTCAGAAGCTTACTCATGTGCCACTGCGCATAATCGAACCGATCCTTTGTTAATGATGATTCCTGAATCACGATCGAAGCAAGCGAGCGCAATGCTTGTGAGCGGAACTTGTAGCCTGAGCTTTTCGGAAACAATGAGCTTTCTCGGCGCCATCGAATTAAAAGGTATCTATCAGGAAGCATGAAATAATTCTTCAATGAGAGCACACGAAGGATGTGCCTGCAAAGAATTCCGGATGACTCGAACTCTTGGCAGCTGCATTGAATCTCATCATCTGGTTGGATACACCTTACAAAGTGTCCTCCTTCGATCATCAACCGATGGCGAACAAGATAACTTTCTCTTTCCGTTTCATACACCGCAAATTGCATCGATTCTACAATTTCTCTCTGAAACATGTCGAAGGCATAAGGTGTGAGGATGTGCAATGCTTGTTCCTCGAGGGGCATGCACGTTCTGGTCTTAATATTTTGGTAGTTTTGTCGCAGTGTGGCTTCTTCTCCAGCTTGGTTTAGGAAATCAATGGCAGTCCCAACCTACACAATTAGTTGATGTGCAATTTTACTTATTTTGCAGTGCAGCTTCTTCTCCATATTTGTTTTAAGAATAATATTTCATATGATATTACAAAACAAGTGCAAAAAATTAGGAGTTAATCTACTAATTCAACTTCATCGATTAATGCAGCGCAGTGTTGACACGCGTGATGCAACCACTCTAATGATAGCATGTAGCAATATAGAGAGCCTTTAAGCATAAAACTGATATGGTATGCTATGGTATGAGTGAGTTACCCGCTCAAAAAAATCCCTGAGACGTGTCTGAGAATTCAAGGGCCCTTTGAAGAATGATTTGACTGAAGTAGGACGACCACTTCTCATTAATCCACCTAAGAAACAGCCTCGCAAATATGGCAGAGCCCAATACTCTCTATGAAATGAGAGTATAGCTATATGTCTATCAGAGTCGAGTCCAAAATCTAAAACCATCTGATTCCACTGATGATCGAATTCTACCACACTATCCAAATTGCACACTCTCAGCATGTCCGATACAAAATTCTCAAACTGTGAACCAGGTAAAGTTGAAAACCAACTCGATAACTTCGACGTAAGATGCCATATGGCAAAAACATGCTTTGTACTTGGTAGCTCACTCATCATAGCATCTTTAAGCCCCATGTCCAGATCTGTCAGCACCGTTCGTGGGAATTTCCCTTCCATCAATCTAACAAATGACTAAAGAGAAGAAAGATTAACACCTCTCACCCCTCAATAGAAATCAAAGGAAAAAAGGGAGAAATTTTCCAAAGTGCAAACAAACCTGCAAGGCCCATCTATGTGAATGGGGTTTAGCATCTTGCAGCAGAACACACCCAAAAAATATGACATTACCATAGTTGTCCAATCCAAACCAAACTCCAAACAGCCGATCATATTCATACAAATTATAACTTGTGTCAAAAATCACAATATCCCCAAACAATCTGTAAGCTTGAAATGATTCTGGATATGACCAAGCAATGTGCTCTACACAGTCACTGTCATCCAATGTGAACTCAAAACGAAAATCTGGACGCTTGTCCTTCATAGCCTTGCAAGCCTTGAGAAGCTCAGTTCCCTCATTTTCTTTATTGATGTTCTTAGAAGCCTGAAGGAAATTGCGAAGATCCCTCTCTGTGAAAGTTAAGTGACCAGCTTTTACTCCTTTCTCTGTCTCAAGTGCCTTCATTATATGATTCACAGTAAAACCACGCTTTGCAAGGGATAATATATTTTCACGATCAACTGAAGATATGTTCCGATACGCAGGAAGATGGCGTACTTCCTCGCTATCCAGCAGTTCATGATTATGCACATTACTGAATTGTATAACCACCCATCGAGAAACACCTTTAGAGACATTCTTCTTTATAATCATTTGAGCCTCACACTTACAACGTGATGATTTCTTATTACGTTGGCGTTTGAGCTCAGCTGTCTTCCTTGGGAGTGATTGGCCAGCACGATGGCAGACAAGCTCACGCTTGTAAACTCCTAAAGGATGAGTAGGGTTGCCTTTCGACCGCTCTCTACGAATGGCAAAACCATTCTTTCTAGCAAAATTGGTGTAGTAATTCTGAGCCTCATCATCAGTTCGGAAGGACTGGCCTACATAAGGTGAGCTATCAACTGAGCTTCTTTCCAAAGAAATTTTGAATGGTCCATGTGGAATTCTAGCTTCTATTAAAGACTCGGGTGACAAATCTTCTTCGTCCCCTTCAATCCTAACAAAACATGTCTCAATCCCACATGGGCATTGTCTTCTTTGAGTAAGACAACCATTTCTTGACGAAAATTTTGTCATGCTTGTTTGAGCACCAACTAGCACGTCCTAAATAAAACGAGAAGCAACAGAAAAACATAAATGCTAGCAGAAATAAGGCTTAAAGCATGAAATAGTTATTAAAGTTTTTGAAACAAATCGAAGCTCCAAACAATAAAACATCACTGTGCACAAACATCATATGACATCACTTGTGTTGTATTTACTAGTGATTATTGAAATTTATGAGAATGCCCAAAGAGAACTACTTTAAAAGAGATAATTAGCCCAAATGAGAACTTGACAAATATACACAAAAGAAACTTAGTAAATGAAAGCAAATGTCTGTTAAAAAAAATTAAAGAAGGTCGAGTAAATTCGCCATGCTTCATTAATTCACAATACACAACTATCCAAAATCAAACTACCACAAAAATAAAGTAAACAATTGAAGTACTTCTATACAAAAGAAATTGAAGAATTGGTAAAAAAGAGCACATTTAAAATGAAGAATCCAAAAAAAACTAGGATGCGAGGTTATGAATTTAAATCTTAAAAACATAAGTATAACAATCTTAGCGTTAGAGCAAAATGGTAAGTATAACAATCTTAGTGTTAGAATAAAAAGGTGTAACTTATAGGGTAAAAAAGTTATTAATCTTTCAAAATAGCTTGCTAAGATTGAAAAAATATAATTTTTAGTAGAGCAATATTGAATGCGAGATAAATTGGCTAATTTCGTATAACAGAAACCCCGCAAAGGTTGAAATATACTGCTTTATTATATTAAGAGTGACTACAAAAGAAGACTCCCATTTTGCAAAGGTTAGAATAGATCTATATCTCCATCCCTTTTTAGTAGCTTCCCTCTCTTGTTGCATCTGTTCATTTTTTTCTTCAGTGCATCTTTAATATTAGGAGTGATATTTGTGTTGAAAGCTCTTTCTACCTTTAAAACTTTCAATTTAATAGTAGATATGGAAGCTTGACCCCCTTTTGTTGCCTTAACCATCAAGATATCATCATTATTCTTATCTAACTAATCATAATCATATCAAAAATCATCAGAAACTAATATGATTGATTATTTAGTTTGCTCTATTAATTAATTTTTCTACATATACTCTTTGGTGTGGATAAGAATTTATTGTCATACATATGACCTAAAAAGAAGATGCATATGTTTCATTTAATTATCTTCTCGCCAAAATGATAACTGTTGATAGAATTCTTCTTCTCGTCAAGAAGAAAACCATACTTCCATGCTTGGTTTTACTAATTGAAAACTAAGGACTGCCTTTATAAATTTTTTATCTATCGCACAAATTAATAATAAAGCATAAATTAGTTACCAAACTACCGATAAATCATTACTTAATTCAAAAGCAAATTAAAAACATTATAAAAAAAAATGCATACTTCAAAATGAGGGTTGAAGAATACACTCACGCACAAGATCTGTCTCCAATGGGACAACGCTAACACAAGGGCAGAGGCGATTCCATACATATAAAATAATTGGGCTTGTTGATGTTCACAAAAGGATGTTTAGGCCGACAAACCACAAAGGTATGAGAAAATGGGGCCAATAGTGGATCAAGAAAATCATAAGGGATTGAGAGCAAGAGATTGGTGGGGTGCACATCACAATTGACAAATTTTCAAGTGATTGGATGAGTTGGGGCTCGAGTGCATATGAAGCATAATGTTTTGTGATGCGTGTCGGAAGATCCGCAACAGTAGAGTAATGAATTATCATCTTAACATTGCAAAAAAACTAAGCACACACTCAGATAATTAAAAAAAAGTAGGAGACTGCTCAATTTTTACGTGGAAAACCCTAAAAATGGGGAAAGTCATGGGGCCTAGCCTAACTGAATTAATTCACTATGAATGGTGAGTAAATAGGTTCACTCTCCTCCTAAATTTGAGAAAATAAAGTTACAAAATTGATCATTGTAAATATACAGCATTAGTTCATCAATTATAGACATAGCTGACTGTAATAAATGTAATTCCCAGTGATTGCAAGTTGTAAGAGTCGAAACCGACTGCTATAAAGGTAGTAGTCCATCATAAATATTGTAGATGGATGTAACTATAGTTTGTCGTATAGGTTAGGTCGTAGTTAAAAGTCATGGTAGTAGTTGGTTGTGTGGGTCGTAGATGGTTGCTTCAAGAGTAACAGTTGGTCACAGAGATCGTAGTAGGAGGCTGCAAGAGTCATGAGCAACATAGGATGTAATTGGTCAAATAGGTCGTAATTGTAAGCTATGATGACATCTGTAAGCCATAGCGGTAAGAGTCAGGAGCTAGACGAGTTGTGAACCACGTAGGCTGTCGTGGTGAGCTGCAATGACGTCCATAGGTCGCAGAGGTCGGAGTCGGCAGCTACACAAGCTATGAGCACATAAGTTTTAGTTGGTCACATAGACAATAGTGGTGAGCTGCAATGACGTTCGTAGATTGTAGAGGTTGAAATCGAGAGCTGCGCGGAATTTGAGTCAAGTAGACCACAATTGGCAGTTGGTCACATAGATCGTAGTGAACTAGTGGTGGGCTGCAAGAAAAGAGTTTTAGGAGCCTAGAGAAAGTCACTGTCTTTGAGGTGAATTATTACACTGCATTCGAGAGGCATCGTTGCAACATACGTAGGTGCATTGTTACACCGTCATCGAGGTGTGTTGTTGCAACGTATTTGAGGCGCATTGTTACAGCCTTCGGGAGACATCTTTGCACCGTATGTGGGATGCGTTGTTCTACAAGATGTCTCATTACTTTGCGATGTACGTCGTGATTCCATAGCGCACGTAGTGATTTCACAATAGTTTTCATTGCAACGAGTCAAGGGTTTCCTATAGTGGTCGACGATGGTCGGCGAGTAGTGTTTAACAATGATCGACGGCTAAAGAAGTTGAAGGTATTGATCGAATCTGCTATGCAAAAGCAATAATGGACTTCAGCTCCTCCAAAATTTAGCCTTCCTCTGGCTCAAGCTCTCCCCCATGTCAAGAGGGGATAGAGCTTTATTTATAGTCTAGGAGAAGCCCTTCTGCAAAAGAAAAGGAATTCATACTACTCCATCAGACGGCTTGGAGAGATTCCCTCAATTGGGTGACATTCAGTGAACATTTGAGTGTTTTAATAATATCAGAATTGAGTGATCTTACACTTGTTGGATTTGTCTCACCGAGACGCTTGATTTGATTTTAGCTTGTTAAGTTTAGAATATGTTTAAAATTTCAATTATGCACTCGAAGCTTTCAAAAGTGGTTTAACAGCTTGATCTATACTTAATTTGACTTAGATTGAACCAATTTTGGTATCGTTCGTCGAGCCGATCAGTTTGACTATAAGTTTGTTAAAATTGAAGTCCTTGATGAATTTTGATTGAAGTTTGAAAGTTTCATGCTCAAAAATTGCCTTAAGATTCGTGTTTGATGGCATATCAGTTTATATGCTCAAAATGACACGATGGAGTGGGGTTTATAAGAGTAATTAGATTTAGCCATATTTTATATTAATTTAGTTAGAAGTTTGTATATGATGCACGAACCTCCTAATCAAGGAGCAATGCAATGTAAGATATGGACAGACATCCGAAACAACTCCAACAAATGTTAGATACGATATAGAAGTGTCCGATTTTAAAAAAAAATTAAAAAAGGATATGCGTGTCCTAAATTAATAAATTAAAATTGAGCAATTTTATCCTTTATTAGCCTCAGATCAATTTAGTCTTTTATAATTAATTATTGTTTGGTATAAATAGAGCATAATAGTTTAGGGTTAGGGTTATGCATGAGATTGTTTTCTTGATTTTTAGGGTTGGTAGAGATTTCATACCTCTCGATTTGTAAAATTTGGGAGAGATCGCCTACCTCTCGAATTGTAAGTGTTTATTTCAAGTATTCATGTTGATTGACATGCCTAAAATATTTTACTTTTATTTGCACATTTAATATTTATTTTTAATGATATTGCGCTTTAATGAAAGATATTTTTGATGTCTTTGGTTATAGGTGCACTAAATGGAGTAAGTAGAGCAAATGAAACGAAAATAGAGCAAGTTGGAGTCAAAGAAAACAAAGTGACCAATGTTGACCTGACGCCTGGCGCCAGAGTCAGTTTTTCTAGATGGTTCAATGAACGTGAATGAATTTTGAAGGGGTGTTTGAAGTAACTCTTGGTGATTTTGAGAGCTCTATTTAAAGAAACTTCGGAGATTCAAAGGAATTTTTTTTTAGAGAGAAAGGAGAGCCTTCTTAGAGGAGAGAGAGACTTGAAAACTTGCTTAGATTTGGAGGAGAAGAGGAGAAGTGAGATATATCTTCTTCAATACAGTTCTAAGTGAGATTGGAGTGGAATTGTAAGGAGAGTGAGTGATTCAAAGGAACAAGAAGGATTGCTTGGGAAGAAGTCTGAGATAAGTTGTTTATTTTATTTATTTTTACTTAGTTTTATTTTGTAAAGTTATATTTATTTATAAATTCATGTGTTGTTGTTTCTTACCCATGAGAACTGAATAGTTTCCTTTGTTTTTCTCCCCACAATGAGAAATAATTATGTGTAGGAATGAAGTTTAGTTGAAATGTTTTTAATTCCATAAATTATGATAATTTAAACTCTACGTTTAATTTACTTATCGATTCATAGGGTTAAGTGCATTTAGTCTCATGGATGAGAATTTAATCCATAGGATTAAGTGCAAATAAATAGAGAAATAAGTTTTGATGGGCGTAGAATTGGAGATTCAAAAATGACAGACTAAAATTTTTAATTTTGTCCAAATGTTTGGAAACTAAATCGAGATGTTAGCCTTCAGGTGAGGGGTAAGTGAGAACTCTACAGTGACAGCTAGTATCTTCTCAGTCTAACCACGTATTTAGGGCATAACTCTAGATTAGCAAATGTTCATTATGCACTCGAGACGGTAAATAATAGGTATGTTCTTATTTGGCACAATACATTAATTTTAGTTAAAATTATTTGATTCCTTGGCGCCAGAGATGATTTTTCTAGATGGTTCAATGAACGTGGACGAATTTTGAATGGGTATTTGAAGTAACTCTTGGATATTTTGAGAGCTCTAAAAACTCCAGGGAATCAAAGGGAAGTTTTTTTTTAGAGAGAAAGGTGAGTCTTCTTAGAGAATAGAGAGTCTTGGAGGCTTGCTTAGATTTGGAGAAGAGGAGAAGTGAGATATATTTTCTTTACTATAATTCTAAGTGGGATTGGAGTAGAATTGTAAGGAGAGTGAGTGATTCAAAGGAACAAGAAGGATTGCTTGGGAAGAAGTCTGAGATAAGTTGTTTATTTTATTTATTTTTACTTAGTTTTATTTTGTAAAGTTATATTTATCTATAAATCCATTTGTTATTGTTTCTTCCCCATGAGAACTGAGTAGTTTCATTTGTTTTTCTCCTCACAATGAGAAATAATTATGCATAGGAATGAAGTTTAGTTGAAATGTTTTTAATTCCATAAATTATGATGATTTAAACTCTATGTTTAATTTACTTATCGATCTGGCCAATTGATTTTTTAAAATCTGTTGTGAAACATGATGACCCGAAAGGACTATGTTTTCCTCAACAAAGTAAGAATCACATTTAATCTCATGGATGAGAATTTAATCCATAGGGTTAAGTGCAAATAAATAGAGAAATAAGTTTTGATGGGAGTAGAATTGGAGATTTAAGAATGACAGACTAAAATTTCCAATTTGGTCCAAATATTTGGAAACTAAATCGAGATGTTAGCCTTCAGGTGAGAAGCAAGTGAAAACTCTAGAGTGACAGCTAGTATCTTCTCAGTCTAACCACACATTTAAGGCTTAACTTTAGATTAATTTGGTTGTAGGTACACTAAATGGAGTAAGTTGAGCAAATGGAATAAAAATAAAGAAAGTTGGAGTCAAAGAAAACAAAGTGGCCAATTTCGACATGGCACCTAGGTGCCATAGGAGATTTCTCTACATAATTCAACGAACATAGATAAATTTTAAAGGGGTGCTTGAAGTAACTCTTGGTGATTTTGAGAGCTTTATTTAAAGATACTTCCGAAGATTCAAAATGATTTTTTTAGAGAGAAGGAGAGTCTCTTCTTAGAGAATAGAGAGTCTTGGAGGCTTGCTAAGATTTGGAGAAGATGAGAAGTGAGATATATCTTCTTTACTATAGTTCTAAGTGAGATTGAAGTGGAATTGTAAGGAGAGTGAGTGATTCAAATTAACTAGAAGGATTGTTTGGGAAGGAGTTTGAGACAAGTTGTGTATTTTATTTATTTTACTTAGTTTATTTTGTAAACTTATATTTATCTATAAATTCATGTATTTTTGTTTCTTCTCCATGAGGTTTGAGTAGTATCATTTGTCTTCCTCCCTACAATGATGAATGATTATGTGCAAGAATGAAGCTTAGTAGAAATGCTTTTAATTCCATAAATTATGATAATTTAAACTCTATGTTTAATTTACTTATCGATCTGACCAATTGATTTGTTAAAATCTGTTGTAAAACACAATGACCCGAAAGGGCTATGCTTTCCTCAACAAAGTAAGAATCATATTTAGTCTCATGAATGAAAATGTAGTTTATGGGGTTAAGTGCAAATAAATAGAGAAATAAGTTTTGATGAGCGTAGAATTGGAGGTTTTAGAGTGAGACTAAAATTTTCAATTTGGTCCAAATGTTTGGACACTAAAGCTAGATGTTAGCTTTCAGGTGAGGGGTAAGTGAGAATTCTAGAGTGACAACTAATTTCTTCTCAACCTAACCACGGGTTTAGGGACTTAACTCTGGATTAACTAATGTTCTTTATGCACTCGAGAGAGAATAAATAATATGTATGCTCCTATTTGACACAATACATTAATTTTATTTAAAATTATTTGATTCTTACACTAATTATAAACTCATTGCAAGGAGAACGATGTTTTATGCAAATTTGAACTCTTCTGTACATTGTTATTTTAGAATAACTTAGTGGTAACTTTACATTTTAGCCTTTTTAGATTGTTTTGCATTTACATTCTAGCTTTGCTTAGCATACTTAGCATTTCTTTTAATTCTGTAGGAGATAATAAAATTTTTTTTTATCATTTTCTATATAAGTTAACTACAGTTTAAAGAAGGTTTTACTAAAGTCATCCTATAAGAGTTTTGTCTATCTCTGTGGGATTGATACATAGGAATTCATTAGAGTCCTATATTACTTGAAACGATACGTATACTTACGCAATACCCTTAGTGTGTAAATCATTTTACAACTTTATATAATATTTAATTTTGCATATTAACCACTAAATATAAATTGGGTCAATCTTTTGCTCAAATTTCAGAACTAAAATAATTGTGTAATTACGAGTCGGGTCATTGATCTGCTTTCATTTTAGTGTTTGTGGAATAAAATATGTTTGCCTGGATTTCTGTGTGAAATCTATTCTAAATCGTATCACATTTCTCCATCATATGTACGTTATTTTAGCATTTTTCCTAACTCTAACGCTATCCACACAAAAGCCAAATTCCTAAACCTATGCTATCAATGTAAAAGGGAATATTACATAACCTAGTCTTGTTCCAACCCATTAAAAAATTATCTAAAAAACCCAAGAAAATCGTAAAACTCTTCAGATCATATTTAGATAGACTACTCTAAATGTTTCATATGTGTTTTAGGCCAACATTTTTCCAGATCATCAATATAAAAATCCTAAACTTACATTTCTTGGATTTCCATATGCTTGTTCGACCACTATAATATAAATAACTTACAATCACTTCTCAAAAAATTACCTCAATGCTTGTATACTATTAGGAACATCTTTTGAAGCCTCATAAACCTAAATAAGCCTACAATCCAAGGTTTGCCCATGGGCTTTCATTTGTTTCTTACATGAGAGTGGGTTCCTTCTACTAGTTTAATGAAATTGTTTTCTACACATAATTATACGAGATGTATGCAACTCAAACACAAGTAAAAACCTAATATCGAAAAAACAAGAAAAGATGAAAAATTGCATATGTTTATAGAAGAAACAATTTATTAGATAGTGTGTGTGTGTGTGTGTGTGTGTGTGTGTGAGAGAGAGAGAGAGAGAGAGAGAGAGAGAGCTTTCACGTGCTCATCTTTTTAGAGGAGGAAGGCTGGTAGAGCAAGTCCAACGATGAGATATGGATGACTGAAGCAATTTAATTCTATTGTCATGTACAAAGGTGGGGTTGCTCATTAAGTTATCGTGTTGCTAGAATGATGACTAATATAATTTGAGGAGAAGAAAGAATGGTCTTGGTTGGTCATTGGAAAAGTAGCATACAAAAAACAGCTAAAGAAAGCCGCCAACAGCAACAGAGTGACAGTATCAAAAAGGAGAAAGCTGCTTCAAGTAGGAAGATTCCATTGTGGTTATAGATTAGTTTAGGTCTTAGCCTCCATTATTACGCGTGTTAAGTTTGAACTGCAATGATTTAAGATTAATATATCCTTTCATCATTCTTTAATTTTGTAAATGCATTTTTGTTTTTCTTCATTTCATGAAAACATAGCCTAGGCATAAAACAAAAGTTACTTTGCATTAGTTGTTCTGATGTGCATGCTTATCAAGCATAGACAAATATAGATTTTAATGGGTCCATTTGATAGATGACGATAGGCCAATACTTGCTAAATTTTGATATATTTAGAATAATTGTGTGAATAACAAGATTTAAGAATTATTGGCCGACAAAACAAATGTGAACTTAGCACAATAAAAAATAAATAAATAAAGAAGCTATTTAACAGCTCTAGACTTCTACCAACAATCCCTAAAAGCCTCAAATATTTTGAACAGTTTAGCTTTGAACTGATTGAAAGGAAACTTGTCCAAATGCATAGTCAATTCAGAATCATATCTCAAGCCATGCTTAGCCATCTATTTTGTTAAATGAAATGCTTATCTGAGTGTTAAATGTAATCATTGTAGGTTTTATCTCCCCTGAATTTTGAAATTTTTATAACGTTTATTTTTTTTCCTTTGTGCAGAATAAAAGAAATATTTCAAGGGGGCGTAAGCTATTTTGTAGGAAATAAAAAAGTAAGAATTTAATTCAATTTGACTCTAGTTGTTGAGGGATTTCACTGGTCGTCCCTGCCTATTGGGGCTAAAGTTATAAACAAACAAAATAACTTCTTACTTATAAAGTAAAGAGCATTAAGCAACAGTTAATGGGTATGAAACGATTTTGCATTCAGTTGCAGATTTGAACCGTGCTCACCGCTCCCGCTGTTGCTCACGTTCTCTGTCAGTTAGAGAGACAAGGATACCCCTCGACTTGGAAGCGACAAACCACATAGAAATCTGGATGTGAAAGACAAAGAAAGAACAAAGATAACAAATGAGTGAGGTGGGAAAGAAGGTGGAATTGAGTTGAGGAGAAATTACCAAGTGCCCGAGCTGGTCAGCTCCGAATCTCAACTGCACTGATACATTGAACCAGCAAAACGCTGACGTCCAAAGCATTCGAAGCGTAAGAAAGCCCTTGGCTGAGACGGAAAGAAGCCTGATGAGGCACTTGGATGAGATAAGATGAAAAGTATGGCACCATGGCGAATTGGAGACGGCGCTCGGAACCAAAACGGAGGGCTTGCAGCAGTCGAAAGCATTTGGATTTCCTTTTTTTCCGGCCGAGGAGAGGCAACCGACAACCGTCGGCGGACAAGGAAAGAATAGCTAGGACCAAGCTCGTTCGGAGCTAGGGTTTGAATATTTTTTCAAGAAGAGAGACGCAGTCCAACGCCGTAAACCCCACACTTGCCTAAACTGCAATGATATTTTAGAGGGGAGCCGTTTGAGATTTTAACAACTGAGATTTATTACATTTAAAATTGTATATTAGGCACAAGTCCACTGAAGCAAAAATTTTTATGTGCAGACTCGTGATATAGCTTTACGTGTGACAGAAGTTATTTCTAAATTATTTTCACGTTATTTTTAGATTATTTTCAACAATACCGAAATAACCCAGAAATAACTCAAAAATAAAGATCGCGGGTTATTTTTGGGTTATTCGGTATTATTGAAAATAACTCAGTTTTAACCTAAAAATAACTCAAAAATAAACTACGGCGCACATAGAGCTACGTCAGTAGTCCGGACATAAAAAGCACTCAAGACACTATATTCTTTCTTGTTCGTATATTCTTTATGAAGTTGGTCAGTTCATTAAGCCGACTGAAGGAAATACTCACGGACCCAACGAACATCACCCGACAACATGTGATACCTTACCAAAGAGTTATAAATTGAATGATCATTTTCACTAGGAGGGGATCTTGAAAACTTTCAAAATAACTAAGCTTTACTTCTAATTTATTTCACTTTCCTTCATTTGACTAAGGCTATATTCCTTGGGTGTGTTCCACAAAATAATTTAGGATCCAACATCCTAAAAGGTGTGGTGAGCATGGAGTTATGTCTTTAACAAGATGAAGAGTGCGTCAAGGTGAAGGAGCACATCAAGAAGAAGCATCCAATTTTGAGTCCATTCGGGAATTCATGCAACACAAAATCAAGGGCTCTATAATCGGATGGCAGGTCAAATTGCGGAACTGGCCTGAGTGGTGCTTGAGGGAATGGCGCGGCCCTCCCGCAACCTGATCCAATAGCACCCAAGCCTCAAACTCAACAGACGGCCCAAGCTACCGAGCGAGTGGAAGAGTCCCAATATCATGTAGTATCAAATCCACGCCAAAGCGAGGAGCACAACAAGGAGCAATAGAAGTCTACTGTCAGATGGAAAATGCATTTTCCTTGCATATTGTGGAAGTCAACTCATCGGAGAAGTTTAATGTTCCCTCTTTAGAACCATAAAAGAGTCGAAGCAATCCTGTTGACCATATTGCATCCTTCAAGTCAGCAATCTGCCTTCTCTGGGTCTCCAGTGTATTAAAATGTTGGACATTTTACAGCTCATTGATAGATTCTTCTCTCAGGTGGTTCAACAAACTGCCCATAGAAATTATCAATTCATTCGGAGACTTCAAAAAGTTATTTTTTGACGCAGCATGCTAGCGCCCAAAAACCGCTAAGGGACTAAGATTCTTTGTGATATGTGAAACAGGGACAGAACATAAGCCTACGAGCATACATTATAAGATTTTAGAAGGAGATGCTCAAAGTACAAAACCTAGAGTCAGTTGTTGCTAAAGCAGCCTTGCTGCAAAGACTAAAAAATTCTGCAGTTATAATATTTTTTGGGCCTACGGAAATCCGAGGCATTAGCTGAACTTCTGGAGTTAGTTAACAATCACATCTCAGTTGAGGAGTATATGAACTAACTAATTTTTAATGGTGAGAAATAGGATTGGCAGTTGGTCAAGAATAGCTCGAGGAAAGATGCATGGAGAGAGAAGGATGGCCCATGTCTGAAATGCAAGAGAGGTCGATCGTCGCGAAGGGATAAAAAAGACGAACATGACGGACCTAATGCAGCCAATCAAATTATCGGTCTACAGGAGACTAAAGGAAGTCCCGACATACACTGTTACGAGTTTTGATGGAAGAACTCATAGACGCAATAAAATACAAGGAATATTTCTGAAAGGCGACTCCATTGAAAATTGATACTTCCCTCTGGAATCTCAACACATACTGTAAGTATCATTGGGACCATGGGCATGACACCGAAGAATGTAGACATCTCCATAACCTAGTGGAGGAGCTAATCAAGGCTAGAGAACTCAAGGAGTTTGTAGCCCTAAAGGCCCAAACTTGGTGGAAGGGCAAGACTCTAGTGAATAACAAATCAGGCCAACCTACCTGAGCCAATGTTATTCACATAGCAGAAATTATCCCAACTATACTAGGATGTGATTCATATGTATGAGTTGATTGATAAAGGACTTGATCGGGGAACTACTTTGTTGTTGTTGTCGTTCTGAAATGGAAGCCCCATCCTTCAATCATGTTCACTGATGTGGATCATCCCCTAACCAGGGATTCTTAAAATGATGTTGTTGTTGTTACAACACTCATCAGTAACTACCAGGTAGGGAGTATCCTGGTTAATATTAAGAACTCAAGGAACATTTTGTTCCGGGCCACATTTTAAAAGATGAATTTAACAACCAAACAATTAACTGCACCAGCCGGCTCATTATATGGATTCTCTAGCAAATGAAAGGAGGCACTTGTTGTAATAGCACTCAGAGTCACTTTGGGAGAACGCGGCAATTGATTTACCAACAAGAAAATTTCTTGGTGGTCGATGATACACCAAAATAATATATTATTTTAAGTATACATTTTATGTTTATTTTTTGTGATAATGCACTTTAAAGAAATGTATTGTCATCTTTTTTTGCAGGTATATCAATTGTAGACATTTAAAGCAAAAGTAGTAAAAAGAACAAAATTTGGAGCCAAAACTACGAATTTTGGAATTCTGGAGCCAAATTTGCGCTAGAAGCGTCATTTGATAGAGAGTTGGAGCCAGATGCGCCTGATTTGGCGTCTGAAGCACCAAAACTCATAACAACGCGATCTTAAGAAAGTTGGCGCGAGATGCGCCAGAGACAACTTTTTTGCGGATTAAGGATGTTCAGGACGAATTTTGAGCAAATTTCGAAAGGGACACTTGTTCTAAACACCCCTTAGAGTGATTCAATTAGGTTGATTTTTTGAGGGAATTTTGAATTTTTTTTAGAGGGAGGCAACATCTAATAAAAGAGAGGGAAGTCTAGAGTTAAGGAGAGTTTTTGGTATGGTGTGTAAGGGGGGCAAAAGAGAGAAAGAAAGTGAAGGGCTTGGAGATTTTCTTCAAGGATTGTAAGAGGAGAGGGAATGTGAGAGATTTATTCTTCATTACACCTAAGAGAGAATTGAGAGTGCTTGTAAAGTGGGAAAAGCTTGAATAGAACTTCTAGGGATTTGCTTGGGAAGAATTGTGAGATAAGTTGTGTTTTATTTCTTTTGTTTTATAAACTTATTTTTATATATGAAATCTGTGTTTTGTCGTATTCTTCTTATGAATTCTGAATAGTCTTCTTTATCCTTATCCCTAATTTGAAATATGGTTTTGTGAAGAATTAATTTTATTTTATACAGTTTTAAATGTTAATAATTTGTGATGATTTGAACTCCGATTTTCATTTAATTTTTGATCTGATCAATTAAATTGTTAAAATGTGTTCAGAAACATATGTTCCAAAAGGGCTATGATTTATACAACATAGAGAGAATTACATTTGATTTCTAGAATCACATTTGAATTCATGGGAGAGTATGTCATCCATGGAGTTGAGTACAAATAAAAAGAGAAATATACTTTGTTAAATGCAGAATTGAAGATTTTAAGGTGACAAATTAAAATCTCCAATTTAGTCCAGTTGATTGGAAACTAATGTGAGATTGTTAGCTCTCAGGTGAGGGAGTAGTGGGAGCTCTAAAGTGGCACTCGGTATCCTCCCAGCCTAACCATGGAATTAGGGACCAAACTCTAGATTAGTCAATGTTTTTTATGCACTCAGAAGAGTGTAAAGATTGCTCCCGTTTGACACAAAACAATATATATATATATATATATATATATTTCAAATGATTTTAATTTTTTCACAATCCATGTACTTATTGTAAAGGGAAATGATGCTTTCTTAAATTTGAACTATTCGTCACAAAAACTTGGTTTAGTTTTCGTAAGTTTATTTTTGAAAATTTTGCAATTAGTTTAATTAACTTTGTCTTTTACTGCATTTTATTTAGCATTCACTCTATTACTCTATATTCAAATTTTGTACTTCACTTTTGTAGTTTAAAATTGTAGTTTATATTACAATCTTAGGAATTTTCTTATAAGCATTTCCAACTTCCTTATGAGATCAATATCAAGGACTCCATTAGAGTCATTTATTACTTGAGCGATACATATACTTGTGTTATTTATAAAGGATTTGACAGTTTAAAGATTTTTAAAAGACAAAACTATTTTTACTAAAGTTATTTTTGTTGGGATTAAATTACACTTTAACTGTTGTATCTGTCATGTGTATTTTGTAATATTGAAAAACATTTACAAAATTAACACACTAAATTCATTCGCATCAAGTATTTGGTGTCGTTGTCGGGAAAGTAACGGAAAGAAGTAGTAAGTTATTTTATAATTTAAATTATTTTTATTTTAAACAAAAAACTAAAAAAATTTGTAGTTTAGTTTGAATATTTTCATATTTTTGGGTGTTTGCTTATTTTAATTACTTATTGTGTTTGTTTTTGTGTAGTGTAAGATATGAAGATTTAATGCCTTACGATTTGGAGTTAGAAAGAACTACTAGAAAAATTTGAAATCAATAAAAAGAGATAGATCATTTTAGCAAAATGACTTGCAATTTGAGTAATGATGGAAATGAAAATAAACATCATCAGAGACATTTAACAGATTATGTTAATCCTACAACAAATAAAATTCATTTGAGTATACAAAACCCTGCTGTTGCTGCCAATTCATTTGAGCTTAAACCTGCTATTATCAAATTGTTCAAAATTTTTATCAACTGAAGATCCTAATTTACACCTTGTTAGTTTTCTAGAATTGTGTGCTACTTTTATATATGATGGAGTGTCGAATGATGCCGTCAGACTTAAACTTTTTCCTTTTTCACTAAGGGATAAAGCTAAGATGTGGTTAAACTCATTATCACCTGGATCTATCAGAACTTGGGGAGACTTATCACAAAAAAATTTTATCTAAATATTTCCCACCTTAAAAAAACTGCTAAGCTTAGAAACATTATTGTATCTTTTTGTTAATTTGAAGTGGAATCAATTTATGAAGC